AATTGAATTGAAATGGTCTTAAAAGCCATGTAATTTATAAATAAATAAGCTATAAAACCTATTCAAGGAAAACAAACATTTGATGCTTGAAAAAAGTTGAACGAGAAAGAAATGAAGTAATGTAAAAGCAAAGTCCACTGACCTTGACACCAGCGGCATAGCCCACAGGCTGTGGAGCAATGTTTGACTGACCAGACTCTCCGGTGACCATGGCCAGCCCAAAAACCTCCTGGAAAGCATCTCTAACTGCCCCCACATTCATCTCCTTATCTGAAGTCACAACAATGTCAATGTCCCCACCAGACTCTGAGGATGAACAACACAGAAACATTTATTAAGAACATTTGAATCTTTTGTACATTTAAAAAAAAAAATTGGGTAAAACAGGGTAACTTACTGATGTATGGGGCCATGCCAGGATCAAGAGTAGTGATCATGGACTCCACAGAGTGTTTGGTTTTGTCTAAGACTGTCTTTACTACAGCGTTTCCTGCTACTCCCTGAGGGGACACACAATACACACAGAATAAGACTACACACACACTTAACCAACTGTTCCTATTAACTTTAATTAAAGAAACTTTCAGTAAACTTCATCATTGTAAAGACTTTTTATGTTTGAAAAATATGTCCTACCATATCGCAAAAAAGCTATAGGGAACATCAAGCTTCAAAAGTCCCCTTTCAAACATTTGTATTCTACCTTAAAAAAGCCCCAGATGCCTCCACCACTGTTGGTGTCTCCAGACACTCTGGGATCCTCCTGTTCCTCCGGGAACGTGATTGGAGATCCAGTATCTAATCCTCCTCTAATGACTGACTGCTGAAGCATGGGGTTGGACACCACACCTGAAAATATGGAACATTTTTTAACAAGTTGTACTTTTTTTTAAAAAATAAATCGATTGTTTACAGAATGTCCTCTGAGCATCTGCTGCTGTTCTGTTTTGCGCTTCCCTATTGGCTAGATTGTGAGGTTGCTGCTGCGGTAGCACATGCAGTTGCTTCTCCAGTCTCTGATTCTGTAGTCTGACAGACTTTAACTACACAGTCGTCTTGGAATTCAGCTAACAACGCTAGATCGTTCTCTGCTCTGGAAATCTGCTGTGAGTTTGAGGACTACTGTAAAAAAGATGATTTATTACCCTTATGTCTTACTTCTAAGTTAAGGGACATTCATTTCAGCTTTCAACACCCTGTTGTTATGTGTCTCAGGGGCCCCCAAACCTGCACATGAGGTCTTCCCAGGTGTGGTACCACACTATCGGGGGTCTATCTTGTACTTAAAGCTTGTTCCTGTGCTGCCATGATTAGTGCTTCTGTGCCTTTCAGTCTTTCAGTCCAGCTTTGACCAGCCACTGGTAGGATTTCTGTGCAGTTAGCTTCTTCAGCCAGTTGGCGTGGATCATTTTCCAATTATTCATACTGGAGACCATTTCTTGGACGTCTGCCACTGTGATGATCATCGGATCTTGTTCAGGGAGGTTGCTGTGGTCTGTTCTTAGATCCACTAGCTACTGAGCATTGCCATTATGGGTTGTGCCCTTCCCCCAGATGTTCTTCCAGTATTGCTCCATCTCATATTGGTCACCTGCCACCTAGAGTACATCTTGGATGGTTCTGTGGAGAACTTCTGGTTTATTCTTCTGCCTCATATCTCTCTGGAACACCTCTTCAAGCATGTGGCCAGGGCTGTGAGTCCTTGCATAGCAGTTTCCCAGGCCTCAGGTATGGACAGTTTGCTGTACTTCTTGGGTACCCCTTTCCTCATTGCACCTTTCTGCAGCTCCAATAGTTGACTGACTTCCTTCCACACTGCCTTGATCTTGGCCTCCAGTCTCCTTCTCCATGGAGGGCACTGCTCCTTGTGGCTGTTCATCTGGTAGCCAACCATCTCTGTGATCACTACTGTCATAATGTAGATCAGCTGGTTAGTTTCCTAATCATCCCAGTAATGGATTGTCCATAATGCTGCATTCACATCGTCTAGCAGACTTTCAGAGGGTACTTCACATTAGTCTTGGTAATCAGCCATGAAGGGTTCAGGTTTCCAGCTTCACCATGATCCTCTCTCTCAGGTCAGCTTCTCTCACACTCAATGCACCTCCAGTCATACTTGGGACTTGCTACTCGACCCCTGACTTTACTGGGACTTTATAAGAAACAACAGTTCTTAGGTCCATTATGATAATATAGATGGGCAGTTCTGATAACATTGCTCCCACATTGATGTTTTTGATTTGTTATTAGCCATAACCATGAGCCGCATCTTTAATGATAACTTAACTAAACGTTCCTTCCATTACTACAAACAAGACAAAAATGGCAGAAGGACAAACCAGATCTCACACTAAACTGTATCGTACCAATAGCTGATTACCAGCTACCAGGAGCCCTTTGACCTGTAGAGAAAATCATAAGCCTTCTGCAAAGTGCATGTGGTCATATCAGAACAATAAAAGTTGCATTCTGATCCCACGGCCTGCTCACCCTGAAGATATCTGTTAACTATAGTTATTTACATATTTTCCACAAGAAATTTGGGGGTGACTGTAGTGAGGATTCTTATTTACCCTTTTCTCCACTCTTTAACAGCACACCATCTTTACCTCAGTTCCTCTCTTGACTCTCATCACTGATTTTTTTCTGTGTGCATTCTGATTCCCATGATAGCAACTTTTCCTTACCTTCAAACATGCCAAATATGCCAGTGGTGTAGAAACGGGAGTTTCACAGACCTTCCAAAATTGCTTTCAAAAGGGTTGTTTAGTGTTGGGAATGACAGCTAGTCAAAGGAGGTGTGCTTGCCTGTTCAGGTATAACATGAAGGTGTTTTTCAACTGGAGAAGGCAAAGATGCCTCTGTTGGTATCAATACTGTTGCAAATGAGTATCTAATTTGATAGTAATATTTAGTGTTGGCTAGTATGTGGGTATTCTGGGTTTGTTTTGTTTTTTGATAACTCTAATGTCAAACTGATTTGGTTCCAGTTTTTAAAAGAGCATAAATGTGTTTATCAGATTCGAAAATTTCACCCGAGCTTCACATTTTTCACTCTGACCTGGTATAGAAGCAGGACTGGAAAATGTTGGCATCAGCGGTGTCTGTGGGGTTCGACCAGCATGGCCCCGTGTGATGTCATATCCTGCACCCACGGAGAAGCTCGATACAGGTGGACCTACAGGAGGGGGCAACATGCTGGAAGCAGTAGAAGGAGGTCTGATGGAAGAGGCCTGAGGAGGCAAAGAGAAGGAGGCAGCAGGAGGGACGGGAGAGCTGCTGGTGAAAGGTGAGGCCAGTGTTGAGGCAGGGTGAAATTGGGAAGAAAGGGAAAGCGGTGCAGCCAGAGGGCTGCTGAAGGCAGGAAGTGGTGGGACACTGGGGAGAGAAGTCGAGACTGAGGGGGAACTGATTGTTCCTGGGAGAGGGAGTGAAGTGGACAGACCTGAAAAACAAAGAGAAACATCCAATCAGAGATAGCTTTCCCTCTACTCATCTGCTTGCCATTTTCTCACTCTACAGGTCTTTATATCCTCAGCTCTGCAATTTAGGCCTGAAACCCGTCTGATTTCACTCTTTATTTCCTTGAATTAGTTCTCTAGACTCTCTGCTCGGGTTACCTTGCAATATCTCACTATTAGGTAACTGCTAGAAGTAAAATTGCTAATATTAACATTCACACCACACAGGTAAATATTTATGATAACTGTGTAATACTTTGATATTGCTGAAATGAGAGTTTTACTTCTTACTCTTCTTACTCCTAAAATGCTATTTAGAGTTATGAATGTTAACTACTATAGCTTTTGAGGAAAGGAGGAGCCATGTTTGGCTGTCTGCAGCAATGTTGTGTCCAGTTGAGTGCCAGCTGAAGAAGGCAAAGACAGCACAATCGGTATCAATACTGTCTCAAGTGAGTGTCTTAATTTAATATTAATTTTACAGTTTTAATATTACAAGCCATTCAGTCCCCGTACAACCACAGCGAGTGCTTAATTAGCATTGCCAGCAACAAGTTGGACTTGTTTCCAGTGGATGTTGGACTTCATCAGGGATGCACTTTATCACTGATTCTGTTATGAATAGAATTTCTAAGCGGAGACACATGGCTGAACTTCTCTGTTATTGTTACTTCCCTGCAACCCAGCTCTGGATAAGTGCAAATGACATTTAAAATCTCGACTCAGCTAAGCTACAAGCAAAGGGAATGTTGATTTGCACATTAAATGTCTTACCAACAGTGGTGGGCAGGCTTCCGACTGGGCCACCCACAGTCAGAGGAGGGGTAGGGCTGGCAGGAGGTGTAGTCTCAATCCCACTTTCTTCCATCATATTCTCTGTAGTTTATTTTAACTTCAGCCCAGAATAGCTGCAATAAAATGTTGTGATGAATTATATTGTGTTCAACTTGTCGGTCATTTCCTGCATGTACACTCTGGGAACTATAGCACATAAAGTTTGACTGACAATAATGTTTATTAAACCTTTTTTCACACCAAGGAAGAAATTTAGAAATTTCTAAAGTTAAATCTATAAGTATATGAACACAGACACAATTTTCTATTTTTTTTTTATTTTGCACACTACCAATGTGTATTTTCTATTAAACAATCAAGATGTGATTGATTTTAGTACTGACTTTCAGCTTTAAGTTAGTGGATATAAACTAAAGTATTGCACTGGTGATGCCATGGTTGTTTGCAGATAGACCAGCTCCATCAATACTAAAAGGTATATACAGATTTTAAAGAACCATATGCTCCCATTCAGATGATGTCGAGACCTTGCATATTTAAGCAAGACAATCCTGAATCACATACTGCATCTATTACAAGAGCATGTCTTTGTACTAAAAGAGTAAGGGTGCTGAACTGGCCTTCCTGCCATCCAGTGCAGATTATTGTGAACATCTTTTTATTGATTGAACAGGTATCCTCGGTTTTCTAAATCAATAATTTGATACATGCACCTTCCTGTGACAATGCGTCGCACAGTTTGAGCCTCATTTATTGGCTTAAGTAAGGTAGACTTGTGCCTGATTTAGACTTCTGCAGAGAACCTTCGAGGATTCGAGGAGCCTATGAAAACAAAAGTGTTGTTGCCCACATTTATGCCTGTGTGTAGTGCACACAGAATCAGCATGGCTGCACACTCCTATGTCAGTATGCATACTGCAGCAAAACGCCATCCCAATGGATTTAGTTGGACCATCATTTATTTTTCCAACATGACAATGACCCCAAACACACCTCCAGCCTGTGTAAGGGCTAGTTGATCAAGAAGGAGAGTGATGGAGTGCTGCATCAGATGGCCTGGCCTCCACAATCACCTGACCTAAACCTAATTACAACCATTCCAAATTGAGATGGTCTGGGATGAGATGGACCGCAGAGTGAAGCCAAAAGGGCCAACAAGTGCTCAGTATCTCTGAACTCCTTCGAGACTGTTGGAAAACCATTTCAGGTGACAACCTCACGAAGCTCATCGAGAGAACGCCAAGCGTGTGCAAAGCAGTAATCAAAGCAAAGGGAGGCTATTTTGAAGAGCCTAAAACACATTTTTGTTTACTACATAATTCCATATGTGTCCATTTATTTTTTGGTGCCTTCAGTGAGAATTTACAATGCAAATAGTCATGAAAATAAATTTTAAAAAATATTAAATGAGAAGGTGTGTCCAAAGTTTTGACTGGTTTTGTAGATTTGTGAGTCCTTAGATGGATCATTCTGAGGCAGTGATTTTATCTTATTGTTAAATAAAAAACAACAAAAAAAACAACTGTGGTGAAAAAGTAGGCAGAAATGCAAATAAGGAATCAAGCGTGTTGAACAAACCAATCATAACAGTTGCAGTCTGCACTGACCCACTGTGTAATTACATTCTCGGGAGCAGCAACTCAGGTTACATGGTACGTCAGGAGTTTACAGTGACGTCATAGGTTCCCACATAGATTTCTTGTTAAACTTGGGGATTAAGCTGCGCATGTAAAACATATTCCCACAGAAAAGAATCTATATTGCAACGCATTTTAATCCAAAACTCAGAAGATAACATGCTGGGAGCAGGTTATCAGCTGTTTTAGGAGCATATAGTAATAAAATAGTTTGATCCCAACAGAAACAAACAGAAGACCCTCTTACTGTCTCCACAGAGGTCTTCCAGGAAGCGTGATCATATTTTCTGATTGATCAGCACACCATGAATTCACACCTGGTCATTTCTAATCTGGAATCTAGACTGCTGCGGGTCAGGCTTTGCAGCACAACTTACTACAGCGACTTACCCCAGTAAGACGTGAACCACCTTCGTAGTACAAAAACCCAGGCTTAAACCTTAAGTTAAGTCCCTTTCGCACACGAAGAGGCAAGCGCTGTGCTCTGAAACAAAGCGGATCTATATCGTCTGACGCGGACACATTTAAGGTTTGTTCCGTGTCTGCCACGCCACAGAACGACAGGAGATCCAAATGAATGCAGTGTAGCGTTTTTTAAGACTGTTCACAACTTACACGTGCCGCACAACCCCAAAGAAAAACAGCAAAACGGACAAAGTACCATACACATCTTTATCTAATTCTCCAAAAAAGACTCAGCATGACATGCGCCACTATTATGATAATCTCTACAGAACAAGTAACTTAACTACTCACCTGCTGGCGGTACTAACACAATACACCCATAAATAATAATAAAGCGCCGACCCACAGTGATGACGTGGTGCTTTGCCACGTCTGCTCCAGCGTGACGCCTGCCGCCGTCTTACGTGGCTTAGTGATGTGAGAGGCTACTGATTTCCCTTTCCGATCTGATTCCAAGTAAAATTAAGGCTGGAATCGGCTGTGTGATACTGTGTGTTTGGAAAATTTAAATCACAAGTAGTGTATTTCAAACTATACCTTAATAATGTATACAAGCCATCAGACTTCTTACTTATGAAGAGTGATCATACAAGGAATAAAAAAAACCTGAAAATTTAATACCTGCATTTAAAATGTGACTGAATTGAAAATTATAACAAAGCTGAGAAACATTTTAGTTGTCTCTGTAGCCGGATGACCTACTCGCCACTGATCCCTCTCACTTTGTATTATTGTTCATAATCCTCTGCCCGTGCGTTGTGCTGGTTATTGTGACATCTGTACCTATCCAGCTGTACAGGATTCCTCTTCTTGTGAGGGGCCACGATCAATGTCCTAATAATCATAACCAGTACAGGCCACTATTTACTCGTGTGGTGCAAGCTATTCAGTCTGTGTATTCTGTATTTTGTTTTAAAGGGTTGTGCGTGTGACGGGTTTCTTGTTTTAATAAAATGTACACTGTCTCCTGACTGTGCACAACGAACTTGGTGCTCGGTGCCCTTTTAGAGTTTTTCTTTGACTTTTTGTGTTTTGTTTTTATTACAGTGAACCGAGGACACACCAGTAGCCGTGGAAC